GTGTGTGTGTGTGTGTGTGTGTGTGTGTGCGTGTGCGCGCGCGCGCGTGTGTGTGTTGTATGTATACAGACTTAAATTATATATATATATATATTTATATATAAGGCCTCTCAGAACTTCAGAAGCAACTTTAGACCAATCACTTTGCTACAATAACATAAATAAAAAAGTACTTTTTTATATTACTTATAAAAAAGAACGGAAACATAAAGAAAAAAATGAAAAAGGATACTTTAATTCATGGAATTTATACAAAAAAATTTCATCTTTCATGTTTCCATTAGAAAAAAAAGTTACATGATCGCTAACTAGGGTAACACAATAAAAATACTACAGTCATCAGAGATATAAAACAACCTTTTTAAATTGCTATAATAAAAATAAAAGTACAAAAGCGTATTTTTGAATGATGATCGTACCTTCAACATGTTTGAGCTTCAATTATTCTTCTAAAACAAATCAACGCCAATAATGATTCACGATAAATAGCTCTTATCATCTAACACGAAGATTACACTGGCACGAACTCGTTTGGAACAATTTCCGAATACGTGCTGTATTTTATACTTTAGATCGATGCGAATAAATTCCAACGATGATTAAAAAAAAAATTAACTTTATGGACTTTGGACTTTGGACTTCGGAACCTGAGATAATTTTTCATCGGCATTCATAATCAACTCTTATCGTAGTATTCATCAGCGATTTCTGAAGGATTGGACTGAGGAATTGGTACAGCCAGTGTTGCCACAATTTTAAAGCTGTATCAAATGGACTAAAAAAAATGTACGATTATATTAATTTTAAAAAAAATTAAACTTTAAAAAAAATTTAGTACAATTGTAAAAAGATTTGAATAATTATTTAAATTAAATTTCCTCTTTAAAAAAATGTTATGGATTATATTAACAAAAATTTTTAGGATGAAAAAGTTATATAAGTGCACTTGCAGTACAGTATAAAAATGTCATATAAATTGCCTTGTATTTTAATGTTTTTTTAAAACATTAATAACTTTATATTTGCAAAATCTATAAACCAATGAGTAAAATAAAAAATAAAACTTCAGACTCAAAAACAAAAGTAAATTTTTTGCAAAACATGAATGTTAGTATAGTTATCTCTTAAACTTAAGAAAAATCTGTACTTTTATTGAATAATAACGCTTAGCGTTATCTCACATCGCGCTGATTTGCCACCGAAGCCATAAGGGTGAAATCACACGGTGCGGAAAACGACTATGGAATAGAGAATGCGTCATAGTAGCAATCAGAGTTATTCTGCGTTATTCCGAATAGCGCTAATTGGTTGTTTCAATGGGTGCATTCAGCAAACTAGTCACACACACTTTTCGTAACTATATAAAGGTACATTTTCACCTTAACTTTAATTTTGCTTAAACTGGCCATTTCAGCGACAAAGAAGATCATGTGACGACTTTATGGAATATGCCAATCAGATGAAAAAGCTCATTGAGCTTTCATCTGAGCTCAGTGAGCGGTCGTGCTTCTGGTGCATCCAGAACGTCAACCGCTGGGTGCACTAAGAGCTCTTTCTCCTGATTGGCCTATTCCATTAGATCCTAAAATATAGACCAATCAAATGAAAGAGCTCACTGAGCGCTTAGTGAGTTCTTGTATCTGTTTGATCTATATTTTTAATTCTAACGGAATATGCCAATCAGATGCAAGAGCTCACTAAGTGCGCCGTACTGAATGCACCTACTGTATCGTGTTGATCACCGTTGACTGTGATATACATAACTTAATTTACTCTTTTTTTTATTGCTGATTCAGATAGAAGATTCGATGCGATCAGAATAATCTAATAACTGTTTAATTCAGCGTATCAACATTGCAAATAATATATAAAAAATACAAACAACATATCGAATCTGTCTCTCAAATGTCAAATTTAACGCTTCTTGACCTTTTTCATGTATAAAATTGTTACTCTAAGGCCGGGTTTACACCTTGATGGAAAAGCGGAAGCCAATCGGAACTCGCAATAGTAATAGGAGGTACATTTCGCTTTTCTGTTTCTGTCTTTCCGCGAGACTGGGCGAGTTCACAACGGCAAAGCGGCTATGCATGCTTATCGAGCGATTGAATATGATTGGTTGGATCTATAAGTAATAACCAATTATGTTTATTTGCTCGGCGAACAGGCTAGCCGCTTTGTCAGCTCAAACGCGTCCATTGACTTTCGCTTTCGCTTTTCCGCTTCTCGTTTTTCCATCAAAGTGTAACCATGCAGGCCTAAGGGCCATTCCACACAAACTTGCATAGCCGCATACACGTATGCATTAAGAAAATTATCCAATCACATTTCTCCTATAAATACGCACGTAAAATGTAATTGGATAATTTTCTTTATGCATACGTTTATGCGGTTATGCAAATTGTGGAATGACCCTAAAGACCGCAGCACAGACTTTTATATAACGCATAATGCATAGTGCATAAACGAATCAACTAATCCGAATCTTTCCTTTCTTCCCATAGAAAAGAAGAATTTCAATTGGTTGATTTCTTTATGCACTATGCATTATGCGTTATGAAAGAGTCTGTGCCGCGGCCATAATAGTTTTGTGACAAAAGTCGTCACGTGATGTTCTTTGTCGCTGAAACGGCCAGTTTGAGCAGCTCGTGAAAATGTACGTTTATATAGTTACGGAAAGTGTATGTGACTAGTTAGGGGTAGCTGTGAATGTTACGATATATATCACACTTAAAAAAACTAAATATCTATAAATTGGCCTCTAAAGTATTAATCAAAAATAACTTGAAATAACCGGATTTTTGACAAAAAATTTATTCATATTGATAAATCGGGCGTTCTTGCATGTTATCTCTTCATCATAATTCTAACCTAAATAGTCGATTCTAACGATTAATATCAGTTTTGCGATTTGCGGGACAGAGTGAACATTTTTTCTAATCTTTTTCTCTTATGCATTTTTGTTTGGAGCAAAACGTGTTGAATAAGGATAATTTTATTAATGCTGGTCATCAAGAAGTTGAATAATTATATTTCAGTCACTGAATAATTATATCGAGGGGGGGGGGGGCTACGAAAATAGCCGAATTCACCTGTAATTTCAAAATATCGCAAAATAATTCATGGAATTTGTATTTTTATTAAAATTCAATTGTCAAAAGTGTTAAAACGCTTATTGTTTCTTATGACATAACTTAATTAAGAACAATATGGAGGAAAAAACAAGCCCTTTCAAAGAAATTGGCTCCAATGATGTTGACACAGAGTCAAAAGTAAATTAACGTTTGCTTTCAATTCATTAGCTCATATTCGCAGCTATATTTGAGGTATGTTTGTAGGCAATATTAAAGAGAAAATTACAAATGAAATCAGAAGCGCTCATGTTGTTAAGCAAGGAAATGGATCAGAGTAGGATAGAACGAGATCAATTCAAACTGATGGCTGAACAAATTCAGGAACGGTTTCTACATTTGAAGAAACAGATGTGTGATATGAAAGAGTTGAACAGGTATTTAATTCAAGTCTATAATACCATAACATTACTTCAAGACTGTGTTTAATAATTTTTTCATTAACTTATGTAATAAATTACAGTTTCAACGATGATTTTAGAACCTTGGATTTATTAACAGAAGCGCGTGAACAAAATAAGTGCCTTAAGCTACAAGTTGAAACATTAAGGCAGAAGCTAACAGATGCTGAAGGTGATATTAAGGTGTTACGTTCAAATAATAATCGTATACCAATTGAACAGCAGGAAACTCAATTAGCACCAGCTATGCATCAAAGAGAAGAGATGATAGAGCAATTGGAGAAATTAAATTTAAAAGTAAGCTAGAATCAAAGAAGCATGACCAATGTTAAGAATTATGATTGATCATTGCAATGGCTAATCATGAGACTGACTCATTGGCTGCATTCAAAAAATTGATTAGTAAGCGTTCAGTAATTTTTTAATATGATTGATTCTTATATACTTCCTATCCAACAAAGAAGTAAAGACAAGAATCAGTCATATTAAAGAATTATTAAGTGCTCACCGATTAGTTTTCTATGCTGAATGTAGCCAATAATATTATAAATAATTAGCAAATAAGTAATTTTATGCTGGCAGTATTTGTAAGTTTGAATATTTTATTTGTATATAAAATGGTGTATGTATGTATGTATGTATGTATGTGTATATATATATATATATATGTATGTATGTATTTATTTTTGCACATAAGAAATTTTTGTTAAGGAGAAAGCCTTATCCAGCTTTATACCAGATCGATCTGCTTAAATATTTTGATATAAATTTATATATACATAAATCTACTTTCATGTAAATTCATGTATATTTACATATCCAGTTCTGTAAATTGCGCGTCAAAATAATTTTCTTTGAAACATAATTCTAAACCAAAATTGAAATAGTAATATTACAAATTATATTGACAAGCAATTTAATAATATTGATGCTAATGCTTAATTTATACTTAATGTAAAGAAATGTTTATTGAAAACATGTGAAATAAACAACAAAACCACTAAGATTTAAGCTTAAGTTCAGATCAATAAGGTTTAACTTAGACCTTCAGAGAAAATTGATCAATAAGCATTTATTTCTTTAGCATTGCTTGTGTGTGCAAATGATCTTTCTCATTATATTAGTTGTATTTATTAGTTGCATATAGATATATAACTAACTAATGAATATATAACTAATGTATATAGAGTCTAATAAAATATATTTTTGATTATTTTTTAAACTTTTTTTTTTATAAGGGCTATTTTCATAATCAGTCTGCAAATGACGCCATTTCCTTAGTTATTACCATTTCTCTAATTCTTATTACAATACTGACGACACATCAGTTTTATGCTTATCTAGGACTGTAGAAGTACTGAGTAGTTATTTCTATTTTTTAAATTAGTATTTTATTTCTTGGGGCTTATTACTGTTTTTGAAACAAGATAAAATTAAGCGAATTTATTATTAAACTATATTTATAACTTCATTGGGAGGGTCAACACTTGTGAAATCATTCATCTTTGTAATTTTTCAAGAATCATAATTAAAGAACTGTAAAGAACTATAATAAGCTTTCTTATGAAAGATAGGATTCTGAAATTTGCTGATTTCATAAATTATTTTTTTATCTCAATGAAATGTTTGATTTTTTATCACACTTTCTTTATTTTCGTAGTAATTGATTTATTTGATTTAAGGAATAATAAATGTTGATATTTCTGATTTAATGCAATCATTTTTTATTTATTATTGGTTTATCTCATGTTCATTATCAGTTATTAATTCCTTGAATTGATTTATGTTTTGACAAAGAACTGTCATTTAATGAAATTAATTTCTTCTATAGTGTTCACAGTTGCAAACAGATCTACAAACAGTATTGGATGAGAAACATGAGCTAAAGATGGAAAGGGATGCCTTCAAATGTAAGGCACATCGTTTGAATCATGAACTGTCTAAAGCTTTGAACGCTACCAAACCAGTTGATTTGGATGCTCTTATCAATGAAAATAGGTAATTAAGAATGTGTAACTGTCGTTTTTTAATAAATAATTTAGATTCTATCTCTTATTTTCCTCCTATTTTCCTATCTCACGGAGATATTATGGGTTTTCTACAATAAGTCATATAACAATATCGAACTGTCATTAAAAGTTACAAAATCGAGATATTAGTTTTACTGATATTGCAAATATTCTAGATATCTGCAAGAAAGACTGCAGCAATTGCTTGAAGAGAAGGAGCTTACACGTCAATCTCTGTCAAAGTATAAGGTAGATTGATAGTGAATTGAAGTTATTATGCATTCCTTTTTTGTAACTATTTTTTATATCAGATGATTAATTTTTTGTAGAGTATGCTAGATAGTAAAAGAGCTAAAGGAACTATCAAGTTGGGAGCAAATTCTGCAGTTGGAACAGTGATGACTCACAAGCAAGGTAAAATATATACGTTGCAACAGCACTCACAAGCGTGGTGTAATTTTCGTCGTATACTTGCGCCTTAGTACAAAAAGTTTTTTTTTAAATTATGATAACGTTAATATATAATCGCAAAAACGGTGCTTGAGTGCCAAGCACGAAGGAGTGTGTTATTCTTTCTTAGAATTTACTACTAACTTCAATGTTTTCTCCTAAACAAAAGCCGCGACAATTTCAGACGTCGACAGCTCAGCCACGAAATTGGCAGAGAGATAATTCGGATAGAATTTGAGTATGTTTGAGGAGATGTTATTATAGGTTTTCTACAATAAGCTAATTATTATCTAAGCTTAAGTTTTAAGGGAATGTTAGAGTGATGACTCAACTTGATTGATGTTAATAATATAGACTTTTTAATTTTAAACTTACTTTCTTACATTATTGTTTTGTGTCACTCAAACGCGTACATTTGTTCTTATATAATATATTACAACGTCTCTCTATTTCAAGATCGAATACTGAACACGCAATTATGTTCTTTGCTAAGTATATGTTATTCAGGGAGGAGAGTCTCATTTGCCTACAAAACTATTATTACCTACAGCTTCGTTTGCACACGACCATATTGCATTACAGCGTATGGCATGATCAAATTATGCACAGTGCATTACAAGACAATATTGTACACAAAATAATATTGCATACAGCACATTGAATAGCTGATTGTAGAAAGGTTGCAACACTTTTTTTTCGATACTTTTTTTGGGCTTCAACATTCATTGGGAATGCAACTTGCTCACCGAGTGATTGTTTTTAATTTTTACTTATGAATCCAACCATTACGTTCAACTGTTTTACGAGCAAGGTTTCCGAAATTTATCGAAAAAAAGTGTTGCAACCTTTCTGAGATTGACTGTATACAGTGCATCGCATACACAGTCATAATACGGTTTTCTTATTTTATGTGCGCAATATGTTCGTGTATGCAATACAGAGGGATTCCTGTTAGCGCATATCTTGAGTACACAATCGTTTTATAGGCAAACCGAGCCTTCTTGTTTATTCAAGTATCAAATTTTCGAGGTCCACTGAATGTTTATACTACTTTTATGAATTATAAAATTTTTATATGAAGCAAACTTTAACCTCTGGTGTGATAATTATACTAGTCAAAAAAAGTGAATTTTTTAAATTTTTTCTTGATTTTCTTATGGAATCGATACCGACTCGGACTTTCTATCTGTGCATGTTTTAATTCTGTAAACAAATTTTGCAACCGTAAAACTAATTTGAAGATTTTAGTTACACTATAATTCGTGATAATTGACATCGCTCTAGCATCCTGTAAGAAATCGATAAATCATAGTCGATTTTTTTTCTCACATCTGACTGTGACTGATCAATTTTTTACATCAACTTACAACCCTTATAACCAATCGCAAATGACAACAGATTATGTTTACCGATTTGCTACAAATGGGAAACATACTTTGTTATCACTAGTTCTGTTATCAAACTTGCATTAAATATTCTTCTGAAAGAATTTGAAATATAAGATTGAAATTGATACAATGGGGTTATAAAATCTATCATTTAATCTCAAAATACCTAAATATCTTAATATCCAAGAGCGAGGCGAGAGGTGAGGGGTGTCGGAAAAAAATCTTAAATGACATGTTGAATCGAGTGAGAACTCGTTTGAAAGGGTTTTCCGAGGCGAGAATAACTCGAGGTGATCTTTAAGCATTGTTATTGAGATTTTGCAATAGCGAGAACTTAGGGCGAGGAAGATAAGGCTTTATGTTCCTGGATAGGAGAGTGTGGAGTATGTGTATGTGTTTTGCATGTCTATACGTTTTAGTTTTTGTGTAAACTTTAGATTGAAAACGTGGATGGATTCCGCAGTTCGTTAGTATTTAACTGCGAACTATTATTCAAATGTTTTTTTGAAAATGTATGAATATACGTTATGTCTTTTGTATATTCAATTTTTTTAAATTTAATTTTTTGTTAAGTAACTAAAATATTTGTTTGATCTGCAACACGGTAGTGACATGACCTAGAAGTTTTTCTTGTCAAATTTCAACAATATTTCATATACTTTCTCTGCACTCAGGAATACATGTGTCCGCGCGAAGCCTTATCTTCTTCACGTTCGGCGGGCCCTCGTTACCGCAAAATTTCAATAACAATGTTTAAATGATCATAACTCTGCGAAGAGTCGTAGAGATATCGATCATTTTGCGTTGTTGTTGTCTCGAAAAGTTCCTTTCAAATGAACTCTCACTCGACTCCACATGCCATTTAAGATTTTCCGTCTCTCTCTCTCTCTCTCTCTCTCTCTCTCTCTCTCTCTTTCTTCCCCTGTTCTCTGAGAGTGTTAAGGTGGATATTTTCGGGATTACATAATAAATTTTATGATTCTGTTGTAAATTTCAATCTTATATCCTACTATTTCAGAACTATTTCAGTATTATTTAGTGACCCGAAACTTTTAACGGGCACTATATAACAGAAAAGATAGCTTGGTAAAAGAATAGTACATAATTATTATAAGCGTTTTATAATTATTCTAATAAGGATAGAATCTGTATTAAAGGTAAAAGACGGATTAATCGTACTAATAAAACAAGTATACCATATTTCATAGGTGTTTACATTATTTTGTCAATCTTCTGTATATGTGAAGATTTATTTATTATTAAATCTTTCATATAAAAAGAAATTTATATATTTATATTTATATTTTTTAGTTGAACAGCTTCTTCAAGAAAGTTCTTATATACCACCTCAGAAATCTGCTGCTGCCGTTACTGATCTACGGTGCCTTTGCACTGCCTTATTAGAGGCTTTAAATGACAAAACTTTAGCTCTGGCTCATCAGAAGAAAGCGAATAAGTAAATAGTTCAACGTTAGATGCATTTATACATTTGCATTTCTATAGATTAACTTGCACACGTTATTTACAGAATATTGGCATTGAGAATTTGTGAATTGGATAGTGCTGTACAGTCACCAACCACGAAGCTTTTGGAGGGATACACAAGCAACAATGTTGATTTGAGGTGTACGTATAACTAGATTGTAACCTTTGATGTTGCTACTGACATATGTATTATTTAGGGCATGCTGACGATCGAACTAGATCGATGTTGATAGTACAGATTTTTTAAATTTCACATAAAAAAGTCAACAATAGTAACATCTTTAATTGATTTCTTACGTAGTAACATCATTAATTGATTTCTGTCTCACTTAAACGCATCTGTCTTTATTTAACATATTGCAACTCCATCTCTTGCAAGATCGAACATCATCTAATGCTAGACACAATTACTGCCTTGTTTATCATTCCGAGTCTTCGGATTCACGTAATTTGCACAGATATAAATCTTCTTTTTAAGCTTATGATCTTATAATTAGTTTCATAAACTCAGTATTGTTTGTGTATGTAAAACGCTGGGTATTGAATCTATCGTTTTATGCATACGAGCTAACCTTTGTATTAAGGAAACATTTATATTAAGTAGCTCTTCGAGTTAAAAAAAATATAAGTTTTTAAACTTTTTTTTCGATTTTAATATAAAGTTGTCACTGTAGCGCCTCCCAATTTTGCGTTTACTAAAAGAATTTTTGATTTTGTTCAGTAAATTTGGAGATTTATATTGATCTGAAATATCCCGACAATTTATAATCACTCCAACATCCCTTTAATTATTCGTAATAGGTTTATTATATAGAGTGTTACAGAACGATCGTAACGGACTAATTTCTTGAAAAATATATTTTTTCTTGAAGAAAGGTTTTGACATAACACATCACAAGATCAAGGCCATTGGAGATTGTTTTTCTTATTTTTATTTTTATCATAAAAATGAATTTTCAATGTAAATATAACAATAAGAGGAACAACTTCCAACGGCTTTTACTTTGACATATATTGTCAAGATAACTAACAAGATCGTAACTGTGAACAACATTTATAAGGTTTTAGCCATCAGTCGGACATCTTGTGGAATGCTGATGGTACTGTAATGGTTCCTACACATAGAACGCGTCTACATTTGCTGCACTGCAGAAGTTGTCGCACTAGCCAATAATTCTATGTTCTTAAGTTCTTCGTCCTCATCTTGCAAAACTTCTAGAAATAATGTAATGCTTTTGGCAAACCGCGTGGCAAAAGTTGGATTGAGTTCAATTTTTGCCGCGCAATGGAAATTATATATCTAGTACTTCTGAGCAAGTGAAACGTTGATTAGTTATCGCGCCAACTTCCGCCGCGTGGCAAGCGTTGCCGCGTTCTGTGTGGAGGAGCCATAACTTTCAAGTCTTATAACTTGGAAAGTTTTTGATGAAAAATAACTTTATTAGCGTTTTAAAAAGCTCTCAACTACAAGAATATTATATAATTAAAAAATGGTAGTTTCCGTTAAAAAATTTCAACATGATTTTTATGTGACTTTGATAATGACATTTAAGGTCATACTCATAGTAACATGAAATGTTCCTTAAAATCCTACAATTTTTGTTTAAACATGTTTCAAGAAAATTCGTATTTTTTAAGAAATTAGCCTGATACAGTTTTTTTGGACTTTTTTTTTAAATAACCTACAAAAATATATAATAAAAAATGGGAGATTTCTTGAAAAATTTAAAGTGGCCTTGCCCTGACCTTGACGATGCCATTCAAATTCAAACTAATGATACTTTCTTATGTTCCTTAAAGTCATAAAACTTTTGGAACATTTTTTTGTAAAATGTATTGTTTAAGAGGTATTTGAGATTGTCATTAAAAATGTACACCTTTATATTAGGTATAGTAAAAAGTCATCGCGTTTTTTTAAAAGACATCTATCAGTACAAAC